CCATTTGAAATAAACTTGTGACTATCAATAAGAATCTGAGTCATTTGAAAATAAAATGGGATTATGAACAAAACTGTGACCTGAGCCATGTGCAATATATGTACTGTGACCGATGCTGTGACCATTTGAAAATAATCTGTGATTATTAATAAAAATGTGAGACGTGAGTCTTATTGTGTTATCAATTATTATAAATAAAAAAATCATGTGTTGTGACCTGTGACCTAGGTTGTGACCTGAACTGTGACTTGTGACCTGGGCTGTGACTTGGGCTGTGACCGTACAAAAAATTGATGTCGTCGGAATCGGAGCAGTCGCCTGAACGGTCACCGGAATCGGAGTGGTCGCCGGAGAAGTCGTCGGAATCGGAGACGTCGCCGGAGACGTTGCCGGAGCAGTCGCCGGCGTGGTGGGGGTGGTGGAGGTGGGGGTGGGTTAATTTTATATATATATTTATTTATTTATATTTATTTATATATTTATATGTATAAATAAATATTTATATATATGTGTATGTATAAGTTAAAATTTCTGATTTTTGAAATATAAAAGTTGTTTTGTTATTTTTGAAATGGGGTAAAGATAAAGTAGGGAAAGTGAATTTTTCCCTTCAAACAATAGGGACAGATGTTCTACTCCAAATGGGCATTATCATATTCACCCTAAGCATCTTCTACGCACTGCACAGCCTTCCCAAACGGGCCCTGACCAAGCTCCGGTCCAAGGCCCGCCCCAACACCCACGTCAACCGCCATTTCATTCAGGGAGCTCGATCCTCCAAAAACAAATCTACATTCTTCAGCCTCGCTAAATCTGCCACCAACGAGGCCGACAAGGCCTTGCCTCTCCAGCCCAAAGATCCCGCATCTCACATTCTGCTGTAAGGCCAAACGATGAAGGAACACAGTATCAAAGTTCCGTTTATTCTAAAGGAATATCACAATTGGTGAAGATCATCTTCTAGTTTTGATACATTCTGAAAATAGCTTAAATCTATGCAAAAACTCTTATTTTAAATATTAAATATCGAGAATTTAATAGATTGAAATATTTAAATACATAAATAGAATCTAGATAATTATTAACTAAAAGATAACGACAAAAATTAAAAGTTATAATATTTAGAATTAATTTGAAATAAACGAAATTAAAATTCGAATTTATTTAATAACAAAAACACGAAGCGAGGAATAGATTGGATGTGTTCCATGAAGTGCAAAGTAAGGTGTTTGAAAATTAAGAGCAGACAATGGTAGACGATTCATAAGATATACAGCCACGATGAAAGCTTCTTATGAAGATATGTTGTTTTTGTATTGTTTGGATTTGTTGTGATGTGATGTATTTGATGTGGACAATGTCTTCATTGATGAAATGATCCACCGTAACATATTTGTCAATTTTGGTATGAAATTTGTTGCTTTTGTTGTTTTGTTTGGATTTGGTAGAATGTATTTGATTTGTTTGGATTTCGTGGGATGTATTTGATGGACGAGAATCAATGAGTGTAAAGAAATTGTCAATATTTGCTGATAGTAAAGTGATAGTGGAAGAGAATGACCTGTAGTGTGCCAAATGCTCACAATGGGTCTGATACCAAGAAGAAAATACGAAAACGAAGCAGAAAATAAATGAAATGCAGATTATAACATTATTTAATGATGACCATAGGCCATGAACGCTTAGTACACATTTGTTCCTATTTATAATAAAATAAGAATACCAACTCTCCACTATTTTGTGACTAATGTCTATCCAAAGAATAGATAACAAATATCAAATAATAATTTAACAACTTCTATCATTTGATTTGAATTTGACAATCTTATCACTCCAAGATTTTCTAGTCTCATCCTCATCATTTCTGTTGTGGTTTGTTTGACATTTCTAACATATTTCACTTGATAAACCCGCTAGAAACACAACCTTTGTAAATGCATTCTTATACCATCAACAAACTTAATTAATACTTGTAAATGCTCACCAACAAATATCAAATTTGAATTGAGGAGGTGAAAGCTTATATCCATCAATGGATCTCTCTCATTAGCCCATGTTAGATTGTTTACATAGAGCTCCAATGTAATTTTTTTTTTTCTTGGACTTGTGCTTGCACAACACCAACCAGATTACCTCAAATACTTGCTCCATTGATACACTTCCTCTATCTCAATTGAAACAATCAATTTCTGCTCTAAAGCAGGAAAGCATATCGATTTCATTATATTTAACACAACTTAAATCTTTATGGGATGAACTCAGTTCCATCATCTTTGTCACTCCATGTATATGTGGTAATGCTAAAAATATTGTTTATCAACAAAATGAAGATCGTGCCATGGAGTTTCTTCGGGGACTGCATGATCGTTTTTCAGTTATTCGCATCTCTTGATGAAGCCATTTCCTTCAGTTAAGTATATCTATAATTTGGTACGTCAAGAAGAAAAACAACAAGAGATTCATATTCGAGCAATTTCTACCTTTGATTCGACAGCACTTTAGGCATCTAAACCACCATTTCATCCTTCTGAAAAGTGCCGACGTCATTTTTGTGAACATTGTAACAAGTATGGTCATACTCTTGGTACATGCTACCAGATCCATGGCTTCCCAAATAAGCTAATAAAAAAATCAGACACATCGCCATCTACTTTCGCTACTTTTGCTAGTCAGATGACCCCTGAACAATACATCAAACTTCTCTAGCCAAAGAGTAATCTGGTGGATTATCAATCCATTTGGCAAGTACAGCTCCTACTTATCTATCCTCTAGTTGGATTATTGATTCAGGTGTTCTAATCATATATGCACATCTCTTTCATTTTCTTCTTCATAATGGACAATTTATACAAGTATATCAGTTCAATTGCCTGATCGTTCTCAAGTGTCTGTGACACACATAAACATTGTTCATTAGCACTTACTCTCATGAATGTATTTCACATTTCGTCATTTAAATTCAATTTACTATCTATCTCACAATTAACAAAGTCAACAAATTGTGACGTAATTTTTTCATTCTCTGAATATTAATTTCAGGGATCGAACGACGAAGAAGAATATAGGTTGGGGTAGTGATTGAAATGGTTCTTTTTTTTTTTTTTTCCTAATCTAGATGTAGATTTAGATTTTAATACTTCGAACCTGTTTGCTACTGATTTTCCACAAAGAAAATGGTGATTTTTTGACCGTTGGGAATTGCAGGCGGGTCCCACACAACACACAAAGGGTCAAACATTGCGGCTTGATGCATTCCAACGGTATGAATTCTGCTATAATAACGGTAGGAATTTCGCTTATTAGTGCCAACAGACAGGATCTTTTCATTTTCTTTCGAGCATTGTAACAAATTTGACCTATGGCTTTTCGCATTGGTCATCCTTTTGGGTCTCATTTTGAATTCATAGCTAAAAATTCTCCAATTACTGTTGCAAATAAAGATTTTATTTATGATGTATGTTCGCGCTAAACATCGCATCTTTCTTTTTCTCAAAGCACATCTTATTCTTCTCATTGTTTTGCATTAATTCATGTTGACATTTGGTGTTCTTTCTTATTCCTTCCAAAATGGATCACATTTCTTTTTAACTATTGTTGATAATTATTCAAAGTGTACTCGAAACATAAATTTGAAACTTTCAACATGTTAATTCATTTTTTAAAAATTTGATCAATCGTCAATTCAACACAATAAAAAAAAATGCTCATATCAACTCTGGTAATGGGGACATTTTTCTTCATCAACTCCAAACCATTCGTTTAGACAATGGTTCCGAATTTCTTTCTAAACAAATTCAATCACGGTTACATAAAACTAGAATTATTAACCAACATAGAGTGTGTTGCGACCCCCCAACAAAATGACATTGTAGAATGTGATGTTACGATTTCAAGCAAACTTGCCTCTTTCTTTTTGGGGTGAATGTATTATCACAACTGCCTTTCTTATTAACAAACTTCCAACTTCAATCCTTAAATATAAATCTCCGTATAACGTTTTACTTGGAACTGTTCCATCATATTCATCTCTTCGTGTTTTCGTGTATTTATGTTTTGGTAAAAATATTATTATTCAACATAAATTTGATGAGCGAGCCAAGCCTGGTATTTTTATTGGTTATTTTTATGGTCAAACGGGATATCGCATATATGATTTCAAAACTCATCAATTTTATGTTTCTCGTGATGTCATATTTCATGAGTCAATTTTTTCATATTATAATCTTACATCTCCATCGTTAAAAAATTCAATTACCATTTCTCCAATCAATGACGATGAAACATTTGACTATACTACGCCATCGATCGTTTCCACTGATGTTTCTTCAAGTGATTCTATCCCTCATAATCTCACTGATTAATTCCAATGATTCTCAAAGGCCATTCCAACATCTTCTCAGGTTGATAGCTCAACCAGTTTTTCCTCTATTTCCCATGACATTCCCTATACTATTTGCCCTTCAATGGCACTTGCTCCTATTAGTAGTAATCACCAATGTTCTAAAATTCGTGCAAATGCACCGCCTAGGCGCGACGAGCATAAAAAACGCGTCAAATTGGGCAATGCGCGTAAAAATGCGGTCAACGGTTTTTGTTGACCGCCTAGGCGCGCCTATGCGTTTCAATGCGCGCATTAGGAGAGCCTATGTGCGCCTAGGTGCGCATTGAGACGTCCCATTGTGAATTTTTTTTTTTTAAATATAAAAATCTATTTATTATATTAAAATAATATTATCTATTTATTATATTAAAAGAATATTGAAAGTACGAAATGCATTATGACGCCTATTCTCCGCATTGACACGCTTAAACTTGTAATTCTTGATTCTCGACCTCGACGCATCGCAACGCATTACGCATTTTAGAACATTGGTAATCACCCTCAACGAATTCGTCGCCCCACTGGGTCATCTCAAGGATTATATTTCTAATCATACTTCACTAGCAAATTATTTTTCTTTATTCCATCTAAGTCATTCTCATCGTATTTTCCTAATTAATATCATTAAAAATCAAGAACCAACATCTTATTCTCGAGCCATGAAATATAACGAATGGCATAATGCCATGGCCATAGAAATTCAAGCCTTGAATCAAACAACACTAGGGTCTTTATGGTCGCTTCCCAAAGGAAAATCAATAATTGATTATGAATGGGTCTTGAGAGTTGAATCCCAATGAAAAGAAGCCCATGATGACTTGGGCCGAATGTGCTTCAAAATTGACTACTTTAGCCTTTTAAATTGTAGGTTAGGGCATGTATTTACAGTAGTTGTAAATTTAATGCTAATTTTGTTTAATTTAATCTTTTACTCGTCACTTTTTCTCTTTAGTTGTGTTAAATTTCAAAGTCTATTCATTCAAAGCAAGTCACATACACTCTTGACTCTAAATAGAACAACAAATAAACATTCTATGGTTATTCACATCTTCCGTACACACGACGACTGAACAAAACTATTGGAGCTAAAATCGCAACATCCGACTACGAACCATACAGGAAATTTTTATTGATTTTTCATTTAAGCAAAAATTAATTGAATGCATCGCAGCACAGCGCAGAGAGATGGAAAACCATTTGAAAAATTTTCCATACCCATTGAGTTGTCTTGTATAGTTCAGCATACATCTAACCAAATCTATTAAAGAGAAGCTACAGTACTTAGAGCATCCCAGCTTCTACCTAGTAAAACAAAACACTTTATCCTTCATTTCATCAGCAGTACCTCATATTCTGGGTTAGATGAAGGTCGGCTTAAAAGAAATTACTTCAAATGACAGCCCAAGGGTTACCATCAGTAGAGTACTTAATAGGATTGGTGAGGCCATATGAAAAAATCAGCTGGCATTGGAGTTACCATGGTCGGGGCAGCAGTGGAGACACCTGCATTGGTGGGTTGGAGGTGGTGGAAGAAGTTGACATCAAAAGGTATTCCACATGGAATGGTGGATACAGGCTGCTGAAGGGGCGAAAAGTTGATGCTGTTGCTGCTCGACTGTATTTGCAGGTTAGCGTTAGTAGGAGGTTTCCCTTTGGCTTCGAGTGAGAGTTTCAAGCGCTTGGCTGTCCCACCAACAGGAAGGGAACTCTTGGCAATGGCGGATACAGGCTGCTGAAGGGGCGAAAAGTTGATGCTGTTGCTGCTCGACTGTATTTGCAGGTTAGCGTTAGTAGGAGGTTTCCCTTTGGCTTCGAGTGAGAGTTTCAAGCGCTTGGCTGTCCCACCAACAGGAAGGGAACTCTTGGCAATGGCTTCCACATCGTAACGACTCATCTCGAAATTGGTCACTGCATTCGCTCCCCTAAACTTAATTGCAGCTATATCATATGCCTCTGCTGCTTCCTCCTCAGTAGCTGACATTAAAATGAAAACAAAATTGGAAATTATGGAATTGCACGGAGGCTACTCTTCCAAAGAGCAAAGAATAAGGTAATTCAAACTAAAGGAAGTGATGTATACCAAATGTTCCAAGGTAGAGATCTTTATTCCCTGCAACACGACCAATTCTTGCTTGCCATCTACCTTGCTGATGATGCCTGCATATTAAGCAATTAATATATGAGGACAATTGAACCCTTGGTAGTTCTTGCAAAAACCTACAAGACATGTCTTGTAAGATCTATAACAAAGAAAATACAAACTACAGTTTTTCTATGAGTTCCAGACCTTGTAACGCCCCTATAAATTGATGCTCCCCTTGAGAAACCACTACTTTTCCTGAATATATCATCGAAATATAATTCAGTTCAATGAGAAAGAGATGAAATGAAGAAGCAAAATAAGTTCAGCTACTCCATTATATTTCAGGTTGTTTGTCCACAAAATAAACAATGGACAGAGTATGCAAACCTTCTTAGTGAGGCAATGAACTCTTGTTTAGTTACGTGCTTCATCTCCTCCAACTCTTTGGTGTAATTGGCGATCTGAAAGGAGAAATCTCCGGTTAAACTAAAGCTCCGGTTTTTGCCAAGAAAATGCAAATAGACAAATTACGAATTATATGTTTGGTAATGTGAACTAGAAGATTAGAAAGTATTGAAGAAAAAAGAAGCTACAATCTTATCCACTGAACTGCCCCCATCAAGTCCTGTCACTGCATGCCAATTGCCAAATATACCCAAATTCATTAGCACAAAGAGTAGAGTTATTTACTGGGAAATTGGTGGTGGCGGTGACACCCCAGTATTTCAGAGCTGCTAAATCATAAGCCCTTGCTGCCTTATCTTCCTTGTCATATCCACCTATATATCCAGTAGATTCCATCAACATTATTGACATCACAATAAATGAAAAGGCAAAGGAGTCGACATGCTAACTCAGAAATTACTTACCCAAGTACACTGCAGAATATAGTTTCATTTTTGAACAACAGCCAAGAAATACAATCCAAAATGTCATGCAAAAGAAGCACACGCGTTAGTATACAATCAAGTACTATCCATACTCGAAAACAGAATAGGCAGAAAAAATCAAAATACAAGATTGACTGAATGTAAGTATATGCAAGATTTCTTTGTTCCACAACCATGACATAAGATCAAGATGGAACCTGAATCTATTTGGGCTAACCAAAATAACAATCGTGAGCTGATACTATAACCAGGGGCGGACGCAAAAGTTTAAAGTTAGGGGGCACAATCGAACTTGCAAAAAAATTGGGAAAAATTTTACAATCGAAAATTTAGGTCCAAAAAAATCATACCTCATGTAATTTTGTATCAAAAAATTTACATGGAATATGACTTTTTCAGATATAAAATTTCGAAAAAAAAATTATGCCATATTCCATATAAAAATTCCTAATAAATGGATAAAAATTACATTGAGACATTTGTATTGCAAAAATAATAAATGTCAATGAAATAATTGAATTTTTTTTAAAGAAAATGCAAGTTAAAAGTCTTTCTTTAAAACTCACGTTTAACGCATTTTTAACTATTTTCAATATCTGTTTTGATTATTTTAATATGCCTATAATATAGTTCTCAAAATAAACTTTGAGATGACATAAGCAATTTGTAGATTCGATTAGCGTACGATCGTCGATGAATTTTTAAAGTTAGCATATTATCGAAATTTCCGAAATACTAATTTTGAACGGCTTACTTTGACAAGTTGTGACTATTTATTGCAGTCTAGAAATTTAAAGAAACAAATTCGAAAAATCCAATACAATATCAGTGAACTCATATTATGCTGTATAACGTACGTATAATGTACCAATACATGCAAAGCTATGAACTTTTCCCAATTCATTGAGCAAAATTAGCAGGCACAATTATCAACTTACGGTTAAGATTTGGATTCCATCTTAAAATTTCAACCTCGTTAAGAGAAGTAACCAAAATTTTTATAAATTGATATACGTTTTCATATTTATTAGATGTAGGATTTATGGTGGCTCGTTTGAGCAAATCAATCTTGAAATTCGTACTCATTTTTTGAGTATTAATCGGATCGAATTGAGCAAAATTAGCAAGTACAATTATCAACTTGCGATTAAAATTTGGATTTCATCTTAAAAGTTCAACCTTGTTAAGAGAATTAGCTCAAACCCTTATAAATTGATCTATATTCATCTTTATTAGATGTGGAATTTATGGTGGCTCGTTTGAGCAAACCAACCTTGAAATCCGTATACTCATTTTTTGAATCTTAATCAGATCGAATTATTTGTTGGAGCTTAATGGATTGATATCATATTAAAGATTTGAAATTCTATCTTAAAATGTCAAACTTATTAAGAGGAGTAACACAAACCCTTATAAGTTGATCTATGTTTTTCATCTTTATTCGATGTGGGATTTTATCTCTTAAAATGAATTAGGGTTTGTTTGGCACAACTTATTTGAAAATCAATTTTTTCAAGCTCATTCTCAATCAGAGACTTTCCCAATAAAGTAATTCTTTGCGTGATCCGTAATTTTTTCTTACTTTTTAACGAGGCTATGTCCCAAACAAACATTTTTTTTTTCTAAAATATTTACATAATCAGCTCATGAATATTATAAGAACACTAGGCTAGTGAATCAAGGAAGGGATAAACAAAAGATTAGGTAGGCTCTTTTTTTGGGGCAAATGTTTAGTCCTGAAGCATGTTGAACATGCAATGCAATGCAATTATTATTATTATTATTATTTATATAAAAATAAGAAAGGGTGTGTGAACCCACAAAATAAGGTGAGAAAGTGATGGCTTGGTCAAACCCATTAAGTCCTATGTGCAGTGAAGAAAAAGGCCAAAAAGCAGACTGATCACAAATTCAGAATTTTCAGGCCCTAGCATTCAGACTAGCTCAGGTATATAAATATAATATATCCCCCAAGAAATTTATTAACTTGAGGACAAGTTTATGAACCAGGGGATAAAACCCCAAAGAATAATCAAAAATTAACTGTAAAGAAAACACCCCTGCCACTACTCCACCTAACCCCCCCCCCCCGCCACCCCACCTAAACTTGAACAAAATGGCGGCCCATTTGATCAAGATTGAACGAAATTTTAGCAGGAAATATAAAGTACAATCAATCCATCAATCATCATAAAAGTCTGATTGAAGCCAAGAAATAGCACTGTCCTTTGCCACCTGAGTGCTCGTCAGAACTTAGAAAATTTAGAATTTGTACCTTGACGCCCTTTTCTTGCTTGGCCCTCTCTTCTACAGCTGTTATCCCATAGATGCGCTTCATATCTTCCTGTCCATCTGTGTCTGTATCAGTCGAAAAATAATGATCAGTAAAATATATTTCTTCAATATATATATATATATCAAAAAAAATTGATACCTTGTGACGCCTCTGTAAATGGAAGTTCTCTGACCAAAAGTATCAGTAACTCTCTTGCAATTCCTCTCCGAGTCAACACAAACAATGGCTTTATTATTATTATCATCATCATCAGAGCATTGTGCATTGTTATTAACACACAGGGATAAGGCATTGGTATAAGTAGTAGCAGCAGCAGTAATGGGGCACTGAGAGTAAGCCACCAACTCGCTCCCTGACTCAACCGGAGACTGAGTGTGAACCGCGAAAGCCGAGTCATCAACCTCCGAGCCCGAGTTCGTAGAAAAGGCTTGAAACCCAGTAATAGTCTTGAGACCTTGCTGCTCATTATTACTGAAGTAGGCATCGCCGCCACCTGTCTGGTGGTGGTCGTAGTCGTAGATGTTAGTCAGGGACGAATCTTGAGTCTCCGTCAAGTCGCCGCCCAAAAAATCCTCAAGTTTAGGCGCTGGCTGCATGTATTGGTACATATATGGGTCCATGTAGCTGGTGAAATTGAAGGAATTGTTTTCTTTCGCTTGATGGTTTTCAGTTTCTGAGTATATGGCTTGAGATTTCTGGTTATACCACCCTAAACCCAAAAAACAAGGGTCACCATGATGAAGGTTAAATGACTGGGCTACCAATGAAATAAATAAGAGAAGCTTAGCATTGAATGCAAATGCCAAAAAATAATTGAATAATAGTTGAGTCCAGTAAAAAATGAACTGGGATGAGTAAATATACGATTTTGAAGAAAAAATTGTAGCAACGGAAATGCCAGAAACAAGTTTGGAATTTTTGTCCTTTTCCCACCTTTTCAAACTCGATCACCAAACAGAAAAAGTGGAGTTTTAGTCAAGATTTTAATACGATTTTCAAATATTGGATAACACAGATAGATAAAGAGTTGTATGTATGGGTGTATATTCAATTACCATTCGTATAGAAGTTATCGGCGAAAGAGTAGAGGTGGTGAGAGCCGGCGACGGAAGAGGTCTCAAATGGTGCAAGTTCCATAGAATCCTGTGAGCAAGAGTTGAGCATTTCCAATGAAGACAGCGAAAATGAAAGCCAGTTGTTTCCTGGTGCCATTTTTTTTTTTTTTGTGACTTTCTTCTTCAAACACTGGATTTATATGTCAGATTTCTTCACAAATCTTTATCAGAGATACCCCTAAAAAACCACACAAAAATAAATCAATGAACAATAATTTTTTTCTCCATAAAACTAGAACTGCAAAATCAAACCCTAACTATTTTTTACCTCATTATCAAGAATCCATTAAATGGATGAATGTGATTTCATATCAGTTTAGGCTTCAAAAAAACGGGTAAACGTAACTTAAAGTTTTATGATGGAAAAAGTAGAAGAGAAGCACGTGCAAAGTAGAAGCAGGAGGAAAATTACTCAAGAACAGCTAGCAGTAGACGCAAATAAAAGCTAGAAGAGACTTGGTGTTGATATTAAAAAGCAAGTTTGGAGAGAAAATGTAAGACCCAGTAGAGAAAGAGTACATATAGAGAGGAGAAGAAAGATTAATAGTGGGAACAGGTGGAAGCATATAATGGGAGTACGAGGCGGTTTCATCTGCCATTCGGCGTAAAACTAGAGGGACACTGCACCGATATTAGTTTTCTTAACTTTTCCTGGTTTTAGAGAGAGAAAGAGAGGGATTTCAATTGAGAATAAAACGAGAGGAAGGTGTAAATTGAAGTAATAAAAAAGAGTAAAATGAGGGAAGAACAGTGACTTTTGGCTTCTGCGCAGAAGAAAATTTGTCTGAAACTAGAACGCGAAAGATCCGGGCTCGCGGTCGGTTTTTTTTTTTTTTTTTTAAATTACAATGGAACTTTTGTACATATGTACGAAAAACATGAGTTGGACTTGGGGGTTCGGAACATACTTGGGCCTAAACAGGTTTTTAATAGAGGAAATTACACCTAGGCCTGATTTTAGATATCCATTTTCAAAATCAGGTTACAGATTTAACTTTCCAAAAATCAGGTTTTTTATTTTTAAATTAATATTAATTATATATTTCACCTCAATTAAATTAATATTAATTATATCTTTAAATCAACATCTTCCCCCATTCTCTCCTCCCCCTCTCTCCCTCTAGAAATCGCCGCCCAACCGCCTCCCTCCCTCCACTCCACCACCACATCCTCATTTCCCCAAACGGCAGCAGCACCACCATATGCCTCCACCGAGCCTCGCCGCTGGGCGTCACCAATTAAAGGCGCCTCCACCGTATGCCTCGTCGCTACTTCGACAGCACCTCCGTCGCCGGTGAGAGCCCATAGATCTATGGTTTTTTTCCACAACACCACCACAACCATCG